CTGCGATTGGTAGATAGTGACGATACGAGACCTTATTGGGGGAGTGTTGACTGTATATGGTGAGGGTACCCGATGTGGGTCAACATTCTGTTCGGCTGCTAGAGTGAGACAGAGTCTACAGTATGGCTGCAATGGGTTTTTAGCTTATGTGATGGATACACAAGTGGTCGCGGAGAGACCGAGTTCGATTGATGATGTTCCGATAGTGCGTGAGTTCCCGAATGTTTTTCCCGAGGAGTTGTCGGGTGTGCCTCATGAGAGGCAGGTGGAGTTCCGCATCGATTTGGTTTCGGGGGCAGCGCCTTATCGCCTTGCGCCACCAGAGATGCAGGAGTTATCCTCACAGCTTCAGGAGCTGTTGGGGAAAGGATTTATCAGGCCAAGTAGCTCGTCATTGGGAGCGTCGATCCTTTTTGTCAAGAAAAAGGATGGTTCACACCGAATGTGCATTGATTACCGGGAGTTGAACAAGTTGACGGTCAATAACCGTTATCCACTACCGGGGATCGATGATCTGTTCGATCAATTCTCCAAGATAGATTTGAGGTCTGGATATCATCAGATGAGAGTGCGGGATGAGGATATCCAGAAGACGGAATTCAGGACTCGTTATACGCATTACGAGTTCGTGGTGATGCCTTTTGGGCTCACCAATGCACTGGCAGCGTTCATGGATCTTATGAACAGGGTGTGCAGGCCGATGTTGGATCGGTCGGTGATCGTGTTCATTGACGATATTTTGGTATATTTGCGATCTAGAGAGCAGCATGAGGAGCATATGAGAGAGGTTCTCAGGGTATTGAGGTTGGAGAGGCTTTTCGCCAAATTCTCCAAGTGTGATTTCTGGTTACGAGAGGTCCAGTTCTTGGGACACCTCGTTAACCAGAACGGGATATTGGTCAATCCGGCCAAGATTGAGGTGCTTATGAAGTGGGAGGTGCCGAAATCCCCCACCGAGATCAGGAGTTTTCTGGGGTTGGTCGGCTACTATCGGAGATTTATCAGGGATTTCTCCAAGATTGTTGTTCCTCTCACTAGATTACCTGGAAGGGCATGACTTTTAGTTGGGGTCCAGAGCAGCAGGCCTCATTCGAGACGCTTCGTCAGAGATTATGCAAAGTCCCGATATTAGCTCTCCCGAAAGGGATGGAGGATTTTGTGGTGTATTGTGATGCATCGACATTGGGGTTAGGCGCAGTGGTTATGCAGAGAGGGCACGTGATAGAGTACGCATCGAGGCAGTTGAAGCCTCACGTGGTGAGATATCCCACCCACGATTTGGAGTTGGGGGCCGTTGTGTTCGCCCTCAAGATATGGCATTATTATTTGTATGGGGTTTGGTGTATCATATACACGGACCACAAGAGTTTGAAGTACTTGATGGATCGGCCCAACCTGAATATGCGCCAGAGAAGATGGTTGGATGTGGTAAAGGATTATGACTGCGAGATTCTGTACCACCCGGGCAAGGCTAACGTTGTAGCCGATGCCTTGAGTCGTAGGGCGGAGAGTGCCCCGATACGAGATATTTGTATGAGGATGATGGTGATGACTCCGGTGTTGGATACCATTCGAGAGGCCCAGGTAGAGGCCGTAAGACCAAAAAACCGCAAGAGAGAGCGAGTGATTGGGCAGGTATCGGAGTTTGTTACCGATATCCGAGGGCTTATGACTTTTCAGGGTCGGATTTGGGTGCCGTTTTCAAGAGGGCACGTACCATCCTGACGGAGGAGGCGCATAGGTCAAGGTTCTCGATCCATCCTGGGGCCACTAAGATGTATTTGGACCTAAAAAGAGACTATTGGTGGCCATGTATGAAGAGGGATGTTGCGTGGTTTGTTGAGAGGTGCTTGACCTGTCGCATGGTTAAGGCCGAGCACCAGCGTCCGCATGGCAAGTTGCAGCCACTTGAGGTTCCCCAATGTAAGTGGGAACAGATTTCTATGGATTTCATCACCAAATTACCAAGGACTGTGAGGGGTGTTGATGCAATTTGGGTTATTATTGACCGGCTGACGAAGAGCGCTCACTTCCTTGCTATTAGTGAGAAATCTTCTACAGAGGGGCTGGTAGAGATGTATATGAGAGAGGTGGTATCGCGGCATGGTGTACCGATCTCGATTGTGTCATATCGAGATGTACGTTTCACTTCCAGGTTCTGGAAGAAGTTCCATGAGGATTTGGGTACGAGATTGCATTTCAGTACCGCATACCACCCACAGACGTATGGACAGAGTGAGCGGATGATTCAGACGCTTGAGGACATGTTTCGAGCATGTGTGTTAGACTTCGGAGGAAGTTGGCACACGTACCTACCATTGGTTCTGTGGAGGAAATGAACCTAGGATGCCATTGTTGATGTAGTAAATCGATCTCTTCTTCTGTTTTGTGCAAGATCCTTGAATTTAGGGTTTTCTCTACCCCTTTATTGGCTTGAATCGTTGCATATGTTGTCCCTTTGAGTGTTAGACTCTGGATCTGGACCTTTAGAGGTCCAGAGAGCATTATTCATCCTGCTTTATGTGGTTCCATGGAGGAAATGAACCTAGGATGCCATTGTAGAAGCCATTTCACCAGAAGAAGCCTTGGATGCGTTGCATGAGTGTCAAGATTTGACCTTTACATGATTATTGGACATGGGGAAGTCAGATCTATAGGTTAGAGAAGCAGATCTGACCTCAGAAGGTCGATTGGGTGATTGTCATGGAAGAAACTCGTCGAGTCCATAAGAGGACTCGACGAGTCGAGTGAGGTTTAGAAAGATTAAGAGGACACGCTTGGACTCGCCAAGTCACCTATGTGCACTCGACGAGTCTGGTCAAAGTTTGACCGTTGACTTTCGTTGACTTTTAGGGTTGGGTCAACACTTGGACTTTTGGACCATTAGAAGGGTAAATGGTCTTTTAGCCTTCTGAGAGAACATTGGAACAAACTAGTCTAGCCCGAAGAGCCATTATTGATTTGATATGATTGCTTATGTGTTTAGGCGGGGCTAGGTCATTGTTACGAGGTTCAGGGATACCGAGCACGTGAGTTACTAGACAGTATACGAGGTGAGTCTTCTCACTATACTTTACCTAGAGTGGTAACTATGTGTGACCGGAAGGTCTTATATGCTATGCGAAGTATGTGATATGTGTTGCTATGTGATATATATGTGTTATGATATGTTATGGGTACCATGATATGGAACGGAAGGTCAACAGTGTATGGACCGGAAGGTCAAGATGATGAAGACTGGAAGGTCATATGGGTAGGGTCGGAAGGTCTACTAGAGTTGGGACAGAAGTCCCCTGAGATGCATGGATCGGAAGATCCCATAGAGTTATGGCCTCGAGTGGTGTATGTGTTGTATGTGGTATTTTGGGGAACTCACTAAGCTTTTATTTGTTACACCCCAAAACCAGAACGGCGGAAACTTTCGGGGGTGGAGGACGTTATGTTTAGTATCACAAGACATGCATCATAGTAATCAAAGTAACGAACAACCATTTCATTAGAAGAAAGTGTTTACAATGTGTGTGTTCACAAAACTTAGAATACATAATCAAATAACAAAACAAGGCTTGGAGCTATACTGCTCCGTCTTCTGAATTCTCAGCGTGAGTACCAATCTACTATTTTCTGAGAATACAAGTTATTTGAAAGAGTTTATCAGCAATTAAGCTGGTGAGTTCATAAGATTTTAATGATGTAAGTAACACTACTAGAAAAACAGCCTTTTACGACGCTCATTGCACGTCGTAAAAGGCTCAGACGACGCGCAAATGCGCGTCAAGGAAGGCCCTGTCATAAAGAGAGACGACGCGCTTTTGCGCGTCGTCTATAGACGAGGCGCATTTACGACGCGCGTTTACGACACGCAATGCGTATCAAGGAAGGCCCTGTCATAAAGGAAGACGACACGCATTCGCGTGTCGTAACCTTACGACGCGCGTGTTAATGACACGCAATGCGTATCAAGAAAGCCCCTGTCAAGAAAGGCCATGTCATAAATGAAGATGACACACATTTTTGCGTATCGTAAATTTAAATGTTTAAAAAAAATTATATATTTATTAATTTTTAAATTAAATTTGTATTTAATTTATCATAATAGAAATAAAATACTTTTTTGATAGATTTACTAATTTTCAAATTAAATAACACATTAAAAGTCTCATAATACAAAATAAAATACCATAAACAATAAAGATAATTCATTGCACTAAGGACCATGTTAACAAAAGAATATAACATTATATACCATAAGTACCCTCAAGTAATCAATCTCTTACAATGTTACTAAAAATACCCTCAAGTAATCAATGTCTTACAAAGTTAAGAGACTTAGATACTCAGTTGGTATGTAATATGGCACTAAGAAGCCCAAAAATTGTTTGTGTTTTTCCTGTTCCTGGTGGATCCTACATGGATAAAAGGTAAGAATTAACATTTTCAAAGTACAACGCCTCAATAAGGAAATCAATGGTAAAAGGCAAATCCGAATAAGAACAAACTTTATACATATATACATGGAAGTATTGTAATACACAATAACAACAACAAATACCAAATTACCCTTTGCTTACCTTTTCTTATGGCCACCTCCAAAAGTGAGAATTTGATAAAAGATTTAGGTCACACATTCTCTCATCAAGCTTTGTATCCAAAAGTGAGAATTTGATAAAAGATTTTAAAAGTGGGAAAATATCAAGAATATAGAGGATAATACATTAAGAAAAAAAAATTACCTTCACAAAGAGCAAGTTTCAACCTTCTTCCCCAACAATGTTTGAAAGCAAAAAGCGCATATATATATATATATATATATATATATATATATATATCGATCTCTGCTAAAAGGATATCTATTGCTTGATGATCTTTCTACAAACTGAAGTACAAAATATATTAGATCATATGCCTAATATATTTTGTACTTCAATTTGCAGAAAGATCATCAAGCAATAGATATCCTTTTAGCAGAGATCGATATATAAAATGGTTGTTATACTTGTTTACCTCTTCATCATCCTCATCACCAAAGTCCTCTTCATCAGCATCCTTTAAAAAAAGAATTTTCAAAAACAAAATCAGTAACACAATAATGAAGGAAGGTGGATTTCAAAAAAAGAAAAAGAAAATGTTTTAAGAAATGTTTTATTCAAGCAAACAATAAAAAGATGATTATTTTTTTATGATTAATTAAAAGAATATATAATCTGAACGTACTCCATCTTGAATTTAATCCATGTCATCTTCACATTGGGTCCCACTGAACCAGCTAAAGAAGTTGTTGCATCAAACCAATCAATAAACAAAATATAGACCTTTTAGTTTATGTTTCTTGTTTACTTAACAAAAACAAGACTTAATCAAGAAAAAAAAATATAGACCTGTCCCTAACCTTCTGTGCTGTGGAAAAAGCTAATCCAACCAAACCTCTTATCCTACCAACCTCTTTCTCAACTGCAGCCTTCAACTTAGCATCAACCTGAAACCAAACTCATTTTATACATTAACCAATTATAAAACACTTCATATTAATATCTGAAAATTTTAACTAATGACAAAAATAACCTTGTCAATGCAGCGATCAGCATCCAGGAGATAACATAAGTAGAGAGTTGCTTGTACACATCAGCCTCCGTATACTAGTCAAAAATTAAATTTCCAGTTTTTGATCAAGGGTAATGACAAAAATAGTGTTTTTGACTTTGAGATGAAAACCAACCCGTCTCACAAGACGACCATTACAGTGAAGGTAATTTGGGCATACTGTTCCTCTCTCAGATTCACCAACAACACGCAAGTTTAAACTCCATGTTGTATAGTCGCATGTTTCATCATCACACTGAAATTTTACATCCAATTTCAGTAAAAAAAATTAAAAAATAAAAATCATAATAGCATTGTTTGCATACCATCATAATGCCTTTGTAGTATGTGGATATGAAGAATTCAATTCTTCTTTTTACCTAATTCCATTCCACCAACAATTTACTCACTTTATTTCTTTGATTTCCATGTATTATATACTATATATGTAGGAAAAACAAACCTGATTGGCTAAAGATGTTAGAGTGAGTTCCACTTGACACTTAGGGCAACAGAATTTCTGCCAAAAGGTAGTGGTGGTGTTATATCCACTGGAACCTGCAAAATACAAATCAAAATAAAATAAGGAGTAAATATAAGGGATAATTAAAGTTATATACTACTAAATAGAAGTAAATACATGTTAAGTAATTTACCGAAACCATTTCTAGTTTTTTCAAAGCAAGTTTTAAAGGCTGTGTCATGACATAGTATTTTGTAAGAAGTTGTCGAGCAGCATCTTTGTCCCCTTACAGGCAAACGATCCCAAACAAGGTGACCATCATTTGGTTTGAGGTGATAATAAGAGCATCCAAAAGCAACAGCAGCCACACCAATGTAAAAGCATGTCCAACCACAAAGCTCACCTTGTAGACTTAGGCATTTTATACCAGGCAGAATCAGGGGCAGTATAAACCTGAAAAGTGGATGCTACTTTGTTTAATTGTAGTTATCACTATTATAATGTAGAAAAAAAAGGAAGTAAAGTAAGATACTTTGATGATTTCCCAAATGCCCCTGATTCTCTTTACTTAATGATTTCCCAAGTATGATTAAACAGGGTATTAGGGGCATTTTAGGCATTTTATATCAGGCATTTTAGGCAGAATCAATCCACATCTCAGGTTTACTTGTAGTTATCACTTATCACAATATTCTGAAGTATGATTAAACAGGGTTACTTAAACAGTTAGTGAACAAGTTATACACTTAACCACATTACATATAAAGGGGTGAAAAGTAGAGTACAATCACATAGCTATTAATAAGCTCAAGAGAAGATTGCAAGTTAGATTAATTACCAGTTTCATGTTCATTTATTCCATTGCCATGATTATAATCATAATCATCACGATAATCATCTTAAGCATCATACTCTCCATCAAAATCAACTCCATATGATACTTTGTGAGGCATTCCCTGGTTAAATAAAAAATCAAATATGATCATACAGAATAAGCTTTCAATATGGAAATTAGACTTGAGAAGATACAAATATAGGTCCTTTATATGCAGATTAAATTATGAAACTGAAATCATAAGAAATATTTTTAAAAGATAATACCTTGACTTTATTGTGGACTGAATCAAAAAAACATAATCATCCAAACCCTTCCCAGATCTAAAACTAGCCAAAATAAATATGTTATTTGTATCCAAAACGATAAAGGGTTCTCTAAAACCGAAGCAAAGACAAAAAGTAGCCAAAATAAACACACAAACCTGTCAAATGAAGTCATGTCACTGTCAGTTTGAGGAAGGGTAGAAAGGTCTTTTGTCAACATATATAATTAAAAAACCATCATAATTAAACAAACCTGGTATCTTTTCTTTGTTGATGGTTTCAAAGGTACCTCAACTAAACCACCAAACACTGCACCTTTACGATCTCCAACAACCTGAAAATGTTGAATCAAGTTTCAGTTAAAGGGCAAAGTTGACATTTTGCATAGTTATTGAGGACAAGACATTACCAGCAGACTTAACCCAGGGCAAAGATTGCTTCTTCTATATAAGGTTGAAAGAGATATGCCATGCCTCCATGTACTAACATATAAAAAAGATAATGATATATCAAGATTCAAGAATAATGTGAAACTGAAAATATGAAGAAGATGAAGTTTTACCTGTATAATAAGACCCATTTCTTTCCTTGACTAAGAACAGGGAGTGCAACATAAAGATCATAACGTGTATCTTCTGTCATAAGTTGTGAAGGTTCTGACATTTTTGGAAGTTTATCAGAAGGAAAAGGTGCAATCACATTTTGTACATGAACCCCATCATTAGTGTCAAATTGAGAGCTTGTTTCTTTCACGTCATCAATCTTTGATTCAGTGTTTACTTTCCCAGATGCATGAGATCGATACCCACTAAACCTAGCAGCTTGTGAAAGAGCCTTGCCGAGTGACTGTTTGCCCTTAGAGAATAGACCTTTCTTTCCATTGTTTTCTTTTGAAACGTTTGGGGATGATGTGTCATTTATGTAGCTAGTTACCACTTGGTTGTCGTTCCATTCTGAATATTCAGACTCGTTTTCTGATCTTCCTGGTGATAAGAATGAGTAGAGAAATGCGGTGAAGGAGGAAGTATCTAGCCCATCAACCAAGACTGGAACATCTTCTTCTTGATTACATTGTTGTGTGTTTCTCCTTGGTTCATTACTCACATCGCCCTAACAAAAACGAAGGAATCCCATTACTAAACCCTAATCCTAAAGTGTATTAGTTCGTTTATAGAGATTAGATTTCATGAAGATAAACCCTAAGATTAAAAGGTCAAAGAATTGCACAAAAGGTCATATCAGAAATAGAATTTCAAATCGATGATCAGGAATTGAACTAAACTTGATCGAACTATTTTATTATTGAAAAAAAAATTAAATTACTTCAAAGGATCCAAAGAAGAATTTGGGAGAGGGCAAAACAACTTACAGAATGAGGAGAGGAATTCGATGAGGGTTTATCAGATATTGGATTAAGAAGAACGGTGGTAAGATCAGACACAAAATGGGCCGCCTTACTTCTTATTGATGTTGTTGAACGCTGATGTTCTTGTTGCTTTCCCAGTTTCATCCTTTGTTGTTGCTAGGATTGTAGTCAAGAGCTATGTCCGCGGTTTCTTCAGCTATCTGTGTTGAAATTCAGATGAATCCCCATGTTTTCCGGAAACAGATAGAAGGGTGTTGAAGTAGAAGAGGTAGACAATTGGAGCTGGTGGAGTTGGTCGCCATTCGTAAGTTGTAAGGAAGACGAAGAAGTCGGTCTTCTCTTCTTCAAAGCAAATTCGATCAAGTTTAGTTCAATAAGTTATCATCTTTAACAATATCGAGTGATTCGGAGGTGGGACCATTGGTAGAGGAAGAATCATCGAGCGTTTCTTTCGTTTTGAAGGAGATGGTTAGGGGCAGCGGTGCGTGGGATCTGAGTGGGGATACAGGGATTGGCATTCCGATCTTGAACCGGTATCTTGAGATGGCAGAATTGTGTGCTTAGGTTTCTAGATGCACTCCAAACTCTTAAAGCTTATCGGGTTCGATGTTGGTGGTGGCAGCTTAGGGCTTAGAGAGAGAGAGTGTGTGTGTGAGAGTACATAGGTAAAGGAAGACGAGCCGATTCAAAAGGATGTGCTGATTCAAAAGGATTATTAGGGTTCTATTGTAGGATTCTAGTGTGGATTGAGTTTTTAAGGCTCAATGGCGGTGGTAGTGGCAGTGACGATGGCTTAGGGTTTACAGAGAGAAGGAAGGAGTGAATGAAAAGGGAGATACTGAGGAGAGAGGGTAGAAGCGGGGTTCTTCAAAATTTTAGAATTTCAGACAATTTCGTTTTCCCCCTTTAAAAAGGCGCGTTTAGGCAAAAAAAATATAAAGCGACACATTTAGAGGACGCACACTTTATGAAAGGCGCCCTCCGCATTTCTTTTTATTTTTTTTTTATTTTCTTACACTAATTTTAGGGCACGCACAAATGCGTGTCCACTATCCTTCAAATTTTTCAAAATTGACATTATTTTTTAGGGCACACACCAATGCGCGTCCTCTATCAGCGAGTGTCATTGTTTGCGCGTCATTAAAGGCTGTTTTTCTAGTAGTTTGTAGAAAGTTGTTGTAAAATGTAATTGAAAAATGTAGTAAGTTGTAAGTTATGTTTAGAAAAGTTCGCTTGTTCCTCCAGAAAATCCCATATTTCCTACTTTGATGAAAGATAAGTAAAAATGGCTCTACAATCCTTTCTATGAGTACTAAATGGATACAAGTTATATAAAACTCAGAGTAAACAAGTAATCAATTGTGTGTATATGCCCTAAGCCCACAACCAAACAAGGAACAGGGAATGAGGCGGATGACACACATCTCATTGGTTGTTAGGTCCTTGTTGTATATAATATTGGTGTATTCCCTTGGTACTCACAGAGTTAACTGTAATAGTTCCTTTATAATTTATGAAAAGATTCTTTAAGAAAACCCTTATTTCTTATAATAAAGTAGTAACCTCAATGGTTCCTTCTATAATCACTTAGTTTATACTAGTTATATATAATCTAATATCGAACAGATAGTTAATTGTGTAAATCTGCCCTAAGCCCACAACCAAACATGGAACGGGGAATGAGGCGGAAGGCACACATCCAACTACCTATTGGATATTAATTATATATAACCTTGGATGTATAAAGTAAGGTATTGTAGAGTTAACTACTTAAGGTCCTTTAAAATGATGGTTTAATAAAATGGATTAAACCCTTTACTAGTAAGTTTCTAGTTGTGCATATCCATAGTTCTGATTTGAAAAGTATATTTTGTACTAGAAAACTGTGCATTGAATTAGTGTCCTATGACCTGACCCATACCTCGTACCCCTTATGATTCCTTAATGTATACGGAACATATATATAACTAATATTGAATGGGTAATAGGTTGGGTGAATCCGCTCTAAGCCCACAACCAAACAAGGAACAGGAAATAAAGCAGAAAGCACACATCCTATTATCTATAAGATATTATTAATATATCTCTTGATGTACACATTAAGGAATCATAAGGTTAGCATTATAGTCCCTTTCTACTGAATGTACTAGACTAGGCAGTTCCGTTTGTCGTTTGAAAAGATGTAAGTTTTTCCCTAGTGTATAACTATCTTGACTCGAAAATAGTTTGCATTAACTTTCAAGTGGAACTGTCACTTTATGAAAGTAATGGGAAAATATAAGTACTCGGTAGTCTTATAAGTTGACATACTGATCGTACTAATTACCTTAAAACATATTTGTTTTATTAAGGTCATAATGTGATAAGTAATTCCCATACTAAACGTTCTCCCTACAAGAGATCCTGGGAATCAATAGTGGCTTCCGCAACGAATTGCTAGGTCGTAATATCCACATTAAAGTTATGTGATCATGTATACCCAATATAACTATCATCTTTTGTTTAGAACAATGCGTTAGTGATTCATTGGTATAATTAGATCATGTAGTTGTCCCATGCTATAGCACCTTATTATGTTTCTTCTGTTATAGTATGTTCTTTCTATTATTGTGTATTGTATCTTCCTCCCTGTTTCTCTTTATTGTGTGTTCTCTTATGTTATCGTGTATTGTATCTAGTATGAAATGACTCTCTAAACTATACCCATTATAGTTTACTAGTGTTTAAATTGAACCGTTGTTGAAAAGACTCGTTTTACTACTAAGTTATGCTTGTACTTTAAAATGGAGTTTTGTTCAACTAAAAAGTAACATAACTTTAAAAGAGCTTTTGAAATGTTTTGATTACTTATAAAAGACATAAGTAATCCTTTAAAAGATGTTTAACAAACAATTACACAATTATAAATTGTGTTTAACTTGTATTCCCCCCCCCCCTCTCTTAAAAGCATTTAAAACAATTTAAAAGATTCATTATGGGGTATGAACTCACCTAATGTGGGTAAATCAAACGAATACACTTGTAAGGATGAGAAGCTCCACGAATGATGTCCCGAGACTTAACAAGTCCTAAATGACATATATTGGCATGAATATAGGGTTTAGAAGCAACTATATGAAAGGAAACACCTTCTGGGACTAGGAAACACTTAGACCAAGTGTTGGAATCACATGTGATTAGACTAAGGAGTGTGGAATGACTCTAACATGAGTTTACTACCATGGGTTTACGGCCAAAGGGAGTTTACATGTAACACCCAAAGTTTGGAAAGTCAAGAAAAGAAAGAAAACCCCAATGTTAAGGGGAGACTCGGCGAGTCCGAGCGGGATCCGGATCGAGGAGTAAGCGACGGACTCGGCAAGTTGGCCAAGGTGACTTGGCGAGTCTAGTCTGAACGAGGAAAACCCTAAAATCGGGACTTGGAGCCTATTTAAATGCCTCATTCTCTTCCCTAAGGTTCCTTTACTGCCTCTTTCACCCAGGACCATCATGCCCTAGCCGTCACATCCATTGATTAAGCCATTTATTGACTTGGAAGGTGCATTGAAGCTTGAAGGAGGAAGAAAGAGCTTGGAGGAGCAAGAAAGGACTATAGATCTAGGATTGTGAGTTCATTTTTAGTCATAATGTTATTCTTTCAAGTTAGAAGCCAGATCTGAAGTTTCTACTTCAGATCTAAGCATATGGTGGCCTTAAGAAGCACAAAGTATCAGCCCTTGAGTGGACCATGGAGCCTCTTTGCCTTAAACCCTAGTTCATGGTGCATTTTGCCTAGATATCCTTCTTTACACGTAAAGCTTGCAACTTTACATGAGGAATAGGCTTGGGAAGGGTAGATCTACAGTTTGGAATCCATGCATGACTCAAATAGCCTCTGCATGTAAGGGTTTTGGATGGACTCGGGGAGTCCTTTGAGTGGACTCGGCGAGTAGCATGAAGTTGTGGAGCAACTCGACGAGTGGGATGAACAACTCGTCGAGTCAGATGAAGATTGCCTTGTACTCGGTGAGTATGTTCTTGGACTCGGCGAGTCAGGTTGCGAAACCCCAAACCCTTCGAGTTGAGACTCGAATCAGTGAGTTGGGTGGAGACTCAGTGAGTTGGTCAGGACAAAACTCGGATATCAGTGAACTCGGCGAGTCAGTAGGCTGACTCGGCGAGTAGGGTCAACATGGAAGGTTGACTTTGGCCAGGACTTTGACTTTGATCAGTGTTGAATTAGTTGACTTTTAGAGGACTGTCAGGCTAGGTGTCGCTTTGTTATTGGTAGCTCGGAGAGTTAGAGGAGCAGCGTTTCAGACGGTGGTTGGTTAGCAATCCGAGGGTGACCAGCAGAATTCAGCAGTTCAGGTGAGTTTCCTTCCAGTAGGAACGGGTCTAAGGCCACAATGCCGGCCCGTTCAGTTAGCAGTAGTTTCCGGACTTAGGTCCGATGCAGTAGTTAGTATGATTTGATGCCTTCGTGGTTCAGACATGATTTATGTGTTATGTGTTATGTGTTCCGGGCTACGGCCCAATGCAGTATGCAGCATATGTGTTCATGCTAGTTGATATGTTATGCTATGCTATGTTTAGTCAGTTTCCGAACTTCGGTCCGATGCAGGGGGCAAGGCCCCAGTTAGTCCGGACTTCGGTCCGATGCAGGGGACAAGGTCCCAGTCAGTTTCCGGACTATGGTCCGATGTAGGGGGCAAGGCCCCAGTTAGTCTGGACTTCGGTCCGATGCAGGGGACAAGGTCCCAGTCAGTTTCCGGACTTCGGTCCGATGCAGGGGGCAAGGCCCCAGTTAGTCCGGACCTCGGTCCGATGCAGTGGGCAAGGCCCAGTATGTGTTTTATATGTTATTGTATGGTATGTGGTAGTTTGGGGGAGCTCACTAAGCTTCGTGCTTACAGTTTCAGTTTTTGGTTTCAGGCACTCAGTTTTCAAAAGAGGAGCTCGGAAAGATTGCAGTGCACACACCATAGTCAGCTGGCCTGGGATGTTTTACTCTGATAATAAGTTTGTATTTCAAATTAATGCTATGAAATTATGTTATGACTTATGATACGGTTTTATAAATATGGTTTTAGCAATGTTTTAAAAAGAAAATTTTAGTCGTGATAATTGGGATGTTACATTACGACCATAAACTCATGGTCAAA